AGTGCAGAGGTAACTCTAGCCACCAACTGAGGAAGATAATGTGTGCAAGTTACTTTCCTAACTATGAAGAGGCAAAGGCTTAGGGTGGTTAAATGGACAGGAGCAACTAATATAACTTGATTTACGTTGATAGAAGGTTAATTTACTCGCTGGATCGGTGATTGAAGGGATGCACGGTGGAAATTTGGAGATCAGTTTAAAAGCGTTTTCAACAATACCACCAGTGCTTCAGCTCACACCTTCCAGTTGGGAAGGGAGCAGAGTGGTTAGACAATGTGTCTGAGACAGGGTGAAAGCACTTGCTCATGAATTAAACACAGCCGCGAGAGGAAAGGAGAAAGGAAACGTAAACTTTTTATTTATTTATTTGTAAAAGTTACTGTGCATTTGTAGATAGGATTGAGAATAGAGGCCGGTTTAAAGAAAGGATATGCGAAGACTGCCATTGTCTACTGGGTTGGCTCCGAGTCAACCAATGGATCGTCAAGGATTCAGCAGCAAATTTAAGTCTAGAGGCTTGACTCTAGCTGATGCTGCTAACAGTAACCGTGAGAGAGCCTGCACGAAACAGCCCAGGGACAGATGAAATATGGCATCTAAGAGCAGGGCAACAAGATAGAGGCAAGGGCATATATATATAGTAACAAAATTAACTTTAAATTTGTATCGAGAAACAATAAAAAGTATTTAAGATTAATAATTATTTTGTTTTTGGATTAAAATAGATTCAATGATCTAACCTTTTATCATATCATTTCTGTATCTCCCCTTTTTTCAGAACAAGATCCCTGAAGTTAATCTTTATTTATTTAGCTTTTTATTTTCCTGACCATTACCAATAACAACTTGCAACCACCCCCCTTAAATGATAATAAGTACCAATAGCCCATTTTTTTTTTTTTTTGGACTGTGGGTATAGTTTTCTAGACAACTTCCTGTTGTCTGTAATTGTTGGGAGACCCTGAGAAGATTCAGGATTATGGTCAAGTCCTGACTGGAGTATTCTGTGAGGCTGGATCATCTCAGCCAGCAGCTTTGAAGCTGCTCTGGATGCAGAATTCTAACAGAGGCATTTTGAGATGTTGGATCACCTGTACCATCCTCTTTCATTGGTGAATGGTCAGTCCATTGCTCTGAGAATACATAAACTTTCAAAGGTAACACATGTGTCTGTATTAATACAAGTACAGACTGTATATTGTACATAAGTCAGTTAAGATGATTTTTTGTTTGTTTTGTGTTTGAGCAGGTAAAATATACACCACGTGACTTGAAGTTGTTTTAGGTTAATTTTTTGTTTGTTTGATTTTATGTCTGTAGTCAGGATTTTAGGGGGTCTTCCCAGATCAAACCTGATTTTCTTTAACCCAGAATGAATCCCACAGTCTTTAATTTCCTGTGGAAATAAAGGCATAACCTCTCCCCCAAAATAACACATCTTTTGACTTAAATTCTGAAGTCAAGATATCTTTAAAATATATAGGTGGGTTGAATCTAGAGTTTTTATAATCTAGTGTCTCTTAGCAGCCAACACAATAACATACAGGATCCAGACTCTGAGTTTCTTTTGTATTACTTTATTACCTTTTTAAGGATTTTGTTTTACTATTTGAAAACTATACAGTATATACTCATTTTCTTCTCTTTCTCTTGTGAGCTTACACACATTTTCAAACACACTGTGACCCATTTAGAGGCTTTTTTTTTTTTGGTCTGAAGCTGACCTTACTTTGCATCTATAACCTTTTCAGTCTGCATGAGCAAAAAACAAAACCTACCCAACAACCAACAAAACAAGCAAACTGCTGTGTAACTTAAATCGTGGCGTGTTCTCTCTATCCCGTTAAGCTACCTGGAGGCTGTGCAGTGTGCTCCAGGTTCGATGTGAAGTGTTACCCACGCTGGGGAAGGCTTTTGTGATGCAACTGTCTTTGGGTCTCCTCTACTCCTCTAAGTAACCTCTTACCCAAACTCCTAAAAGTGACCCCAGTAAAACTCATTGGTTCATTGAATTGAACTTTGGAAGTATTCTCATTTTGGTCTGTTGGGGGTTCCTTATCTGTGTTGAGTAAACATGTGTGTTGTGTCTCCGAAGGAAGTATTTTGTCATACAACACACAGGGATAGCCTCCTTGTCCTTTCCAGGAGATTATCATACAGCAGACACATGTTTGTCCCCTGGCTCTTATAATCTTTCTACCCCTTCTTCTGAGATGTTCCCTGGACCTTACACACAGGGATTGTGTTGTATCCACTGGCTTTGGGTTCTCCACAGTCAACTGATCTCTGCATTATGACTAGTTTATTATCTAAAGTAGTTTCAATTTGCTACAAAAAGAAACTTCTTTGATGTGGGCATGACAGCTACATTCATCTATAGATATAAAGATAAGTTTTAGATTGCAGGTGTTAGGATTTATGCTCATCTAGTAAAGTGGTAGTAGCAGGTTCTCCTCTAAGGTCTATGACCCGGACTCACCCCAGGTAGTTGCCAAGGTTCCTAGTACGATACATAATTTCCCTCCCGTGGGATGGACCTAAAGTTCAATCAGATTGCTGTTGATTAGCACCCAGATATGAGCGCCGCTTTGGTTACCTTTAGGGATATCTTCATGTGTTGCCCATTTATAGCGGTTCACAGGTGGCTGAGCAGGACTATTTATGGCCTCCCTCCCTCCCCAAGCAGATGGTACAGTGAAAACTAGCCCACAGGAAGGAGGTTTCAGATTGGGTATAGCTTTTCAGATAAGATCTGAGCCCTGTGTCCAAAGTGTGTGTGCTACCTTCAGTGATGGGAACTTACCTTCAGCCTCTTCGAGACAACCAAGGGTACTGCCAAGAATCTGCATCATTTCAAAAATCACGTGGACTACCCTGGCTGACTCAAAAGGAAGTTTCTCCAGTCTTCCGTTGGAGGTTTTGTCGGATGGTCTACGGATCTTGTGGAGAGTACTGTCAGGACAAAGTGGCAGAGCTTATATGTATTATATAATTTGGGTGAAAGACAAAAATAGTGTGGTTCCTCGAGGCTTTAAAAAATTGGTAAATTAGAGCTTAAGCTGATCCTGCAGCTCTTGGAAACCAAAGTAATAGGGAAACATGTTTTAACTAGCAAAAAATGTGTCTGCAGGGTGCTGAGTAGATTTCCCAGTGGGCACACACACACACACACACACAAAGCTACAAAACCCTACAGGTTTTTTCTAATTGGGGATTCTATGACTTTGGGGGCTCTGACTGCCTACCTATCACCCATATATTACCTACATACTTCAAACAATAAACTGTGGGTGTGCTTTTTTTTTTTAATGCAAATATATCGCATAATCTAACTAGATTTATTTAATTGCACTGGTGAATTCATGGTGACATTTTTTTTTTAACCAGTAGGCATATTCTTAATGGTAAACTTACTAAGGATGCCATTGCAACATGAAAGGAGCATATTAAATTCTTAACTGCATTCTAAACACGAATCTTTATACCTACAGATGAAGTATAGCATTCTATCCTCTTCAAAAGTTCTTGTTCCATTTTGCAGTAGATAGAGACCATACAGGAAGCCACAACTGGTCAAATGCAGAGAACCACTGACCTTGAGATACCCATTCCCAACTGATGAATCTATAACACAACCCCTATACTCAAGGCTCCGGAAACGTCAAAGAAGGAGGAACAGAGAAAGTGTAAAAGTCAAAGGACCAGGAAGCCTGCTGAAAGAGAATCAGCTTCCCCAGGGTGACACCCCTAATCAGTTAAGTGATGTGGTTAGCCCTAAACACACATAGACACACGTGAACATAGACACAGACACAAACACCTATGTACACACACACACACCAGCATACACACACAAACACACAACACCAAGCAAACTCAGTAGGCTGTAAGTGTGTGTGCAGAGTAACAGTAATAGTCAAAAGTTTCCAGCTCACATTCCTGCTCCTCTATTCCCCCCTCTCTTCCTGAAGTTCCCCTGGGGCAGACAGGACATTTCCTGTTTTCCTCTTCTTCTTCCTCTTTCTCTTCTGCCCTCTCTCTCTCTCTCTGTCTCTGTGTCTCCTTACCTCTTTTCTCTTTCCTCCCAGCCACCTTCCCTTTCTAATAAAACTTCTTACAGAGAGAGAGACAGGGAGAGACAGGGACAGAGAGACAGAAAGGCCATGAATTGGAGATTAAACAGTAGTTTGGACATGGTTGGGGTTCCGGGAAGAGAGGAGAGGGGAAATGGTATAAACAGGGTACACATGTGAAACAGAGCAGGCTTGTGTGTGATAATGGATGGGAACGTAGCGTGATAAAAAGAAAACAAGTTAACTTTGAGAAAGACAATCCTTGGTCTCCATTACTCTCCCTTCACTGGCGAATAGCAAAGGGCAACTCCAAATGTACAGGCATTCCAGTGTGCAACCAGAATTCCCTGAAGCAGGAAGGGGATTCTAACTCTCCTGTTCATAATACCTGCATAAAACCAAGTGAAACCAGGACAAACAAACAGAAGAAGAATCTGGGAGGCTCCCTAAGCCCAGTGGGGGTAGTTTGCATAGGAAAGTCACAGACCTGAGACTTTGAGCCTCAGCTCCTGATCGAAAATAACAGTTGTTAGGCATAAGCAGAAAGACATTTAGTTTGGTTCACTTGATCCTCTGAAACGGGTTTCAGAGCCTCGTACCAGCTCAGTCAATGTGTTACCTTGCCAACCCTTATGGGAAATCTGTTTTGCCATCTCTTGGATAAGAAAATGAGGGATGAACTGGGAATGAATGTATCTGAATCAAGCTTTCTCAAAAGGTTATTGTAGAGGAACGACTTGTAAGTAGCTCTAGACCATCTTCCCTTAGAAGAAAACTGAGAACTACCAACAGCATAACACTTGAATTACGGAAGTAAGCCGTGGCACTGACTTTGAACAACTTTTTTTTTTTTTTCAACTTCCTGCAAAGAGGACCTTTACAGTATTTTTGGAGAAGTTAGTAAAACCGAATCTGACATCACCATTTAGCAGTTCATGCAGCTAGAAGTGGTCTGTTCTTAGGGTTAGCAGAGAAGGAAACCTGCTCCCCATCTGATAAGACGGTACAGGGTACGCACTCATTTCTTGTATTTTTGGCTTAGCTTTCCAGAGTCAAACTTCTAGAGAGATTAACCATTCTTTTGCCTTTCAGGGGGACGCGTGCCATTTCTAAGGGGACACAGCTGATCTCCAGATATGACCATGTATCTGTGGCTCAAACTCCTGGCCTTTGGCTTTGCCTTTCTGGACACTGAAGTGTTTGTCAGAGGTGAGCACCATGACGTTAACTTTTACTTCCTTGAATGTTGTTCCTTTTGCGGGGATTTGAAAGGGGATTTGAAATGGCTATTTTTAAAGTTTTGTGATGGAGCCTGAAAGTAAGAAGGGCTCACTATTCTGTGTTTAAGGTTGTGGCTCGGAGAAACAAGGCCTATGTCAGGGCAGCATGTGCTGTTTCTCTTCAAAAGACAAATGTTTTGCGGGGAAGAAGACACATTTAATAGGAAAACTGTCTCAGCCTCTCTATTTGCCAACTGTTCAAGGATGCTACTAAAGCAACAGACTTGTACGTGCATCTATGACAGTCAAAGGAATTGTTAAATAAGTCTTTTTTTTTTTTTATGCTTTTGAGCAAAATATGAGCGGTTTGAAAATCATGAGATGGCTTTGGTTGTGCGTAAGGCAGTCTCTTTGGATGGGAGGTTGTTTCCTCAAAATGTTCATGGCTGTGAAAATGGGGTCTCAAATGCTTGACTACAGAAATGCTCAAAGGCGAGTTAGGTGCTTTTCAAGCAACCCACTTTTCATATTGTCTTATCAGGGAACGAATATGTGAATTAGTTACTTTAGTTCCTCCACAATGGTTCTTATGAATTTTGCTGTGGAAATTCTGGTAGAGCCACCGCCCTTCCTGGGTGATGGGTAGATAGATAACACAGCCCTGCCTGACAAGGTGGAAATATGAAAATCCCTAGGAATCACAAAACGCTGTGCCCTTGTTGACTTGCTTAAGTTTGAGATCTTCCCACACTTCTGGTCTGGTCAATAGATACATCTTGAGTAGCTTCAGTTTGGGATGCGAGTTTTTGTTGATTATTAAGTTACTTATAAATATCATTTCTCCATATAATGTTTAACCCAAAGCTCACTGATGATGAGTCTCTGTAGAAATTTCAAAATAATTTTTTTAATGGGAAAAAAATATTTAAATCTAATCAGAATTCAAATTTTAATTTTTTCTTGTGTTTACTGTTCTCATTTTCCTTGGGAAAACAGGGCACCAATTAACTGTTGAACACATCGCCCAAGTAAATTTTATTCTTGGTCATCTATAGGCTTGAGGGGAAATATACAGCCTGGGAAATTTTTTGTTCTTATTATCACAATAATTTTGTTTTGCTTTTTAATTGGAAAGATGAATTTAAAAAACCCATTTAGGTCAGCTGTGAATTTGTTTGGTTTAGGTTTTCAGCATGGAGATGATTTTTAAAAATTCATAGAATTAGAGCGTCTTGTCATAATGCACAAACTACTTCTTATGTTACCATCCCTCTATTATTTGTGTTATAAGTTAAAGGAAATTATGAGGAAGAACTTAGTATGCCATATTTCCACTTGTAAGTAGTCCCTTCTTAGGGTAAATTACAAATTCTTTTTAAGTGAATATGAAAAAAACCTGGGATACCTTCCGGCCTCAGAGCAAGTCACCCTCAAAGTTTTATATCAGGTTACTTAGGTTTTTTTTTTTTTTTTTTTTTTTTTTTTGCAAAATAAGTACATTTGAATTCATCCATCAAAAAGTGTATGAAGGGACCTAGAAACCTTTAAGTCATCCTTGCTAAATATTTTGTTCTATAAATTAATAGATGTAGATAATTAATCAACATACAGATGATAGGTAGCTGATAGAAAGATTTTCTCCCATAATGCTGAGGGTAAATACTTCTCTATACAACACTGATAGTCTTTCTTAACATGTGTATTTATGGTTGGAAACACACATACAATAATCGTTTGCACTAGAAAATGGTGCTTAACATTTCTATGCACATTTTTGATTCAGCTTATATACTTGAGAATGTATTAAAGCTTTCAAGTGTATACTTCTCTTTTATTAAGAAACAAATGTCTTGGGTCCTACATTTTATCTCCGTGCGTTACATTGACTCAGTATCTACAGGAAATAAACTTCCAGGCAACAACTTTCTATTGTATGCTTTAGGAAAATAAAGAAGTACCATAAATTATAAATGAGGTGTGAGTGGAAAATACACACCACTCCAGCGTGTTATCTAACTCCTGAATCCGGAAATCCGCATGAGACGAAGGCCAAATTTAAGTTCTTCCAGGCCAGCAGTAAAGCTGTGTTCATATTTATAAAATATCTCTGGTCCTGTTCTGCTTTCTGCATCTTTGTCATGGCAGCTGGACACAGGATGCTTGTTCAAAAGTTCTAAATGGTCCTAGGGCCCAGTGATGGAGGAGAGAGTACAGGTCGGGTGCAGGTTTTCTAACTCTCGTCGAGTCCTAATGCTAGCCCTATCTGACACCCATCATCTAACAGCTAACAGTGTCTTCAGTTGAGCCCCAAAGAGTGTGCAGTGAGTTCTGTTATGAGTCAGAACGGTGAAAATTCATTTCCTGAGCACAATTCTTAATTTTCCACCGACATTAAAATACCTCATGTAACAAACATGTTCTTGGCTCTATACACTGCAAGAATTTGACACAGATTATGTATTGAAATTGGGCGGCGCTCCTGTTAAGTTCTAAAAATATCCCGACAGCCCGGGATGTGGGAATGATGATTTACTACTTCACATTTTTATTTTTTTATTCATGTATTTATTTATTTACTTACGGCTAAAATGTTTTCTGTGACCATTGCCATTGGTAGGGTGTGAAAAGCATTTTCTTAGAGGGAAGAAAGGTTGGATTGGAAATGTGGGGTCCGTCTCTTGCTCGACACACTGAGCTCAGGGTGAAAGAGTGGTAAACTGCCTTCTCCATTCAACTTGGTATCTTTCCAATAGTGACGAGCATTGAGTGCAGCCTGTAGATGTTTCTACATTGCTCATGCTGCGTAGATACCGACATACAGACACACACATAAAACACATGTACACAGTGCTTTTCTATTTGTTGTCTTCTACTTTGCCTTTTTCTACCTGGTCTCTACATGCGTTTAGCTGAACAATACTGAGTTTCTGTGAGCACTAATCCTCCGGCAGGGTTAGTTTCCCTCAGTCCAGATTATTTCCTCTGTGCTTGTGAGCTCCTTTCCACCGTCCAAACAAATCCTTCAGGAATGGAAAAGCTCTTTTCCGAAGTGCATTCGCTCACATGTTCCACAAACAGCTGGAAGCAATAAGGAAGTACAAACCCGTCTGCTCCATCTCTGTTGAGATCGCCTCAATTCCAGGCTCCGCTATCTTTTGTCTGTAACATGGGAAAGTATTTTTTTTTTTTTTTTACCAGTATGAATCTCATCCTTTCTTCATATAACTTAAAGTATTAAATTCGTGAGGGGAGGGGAGGTTCCTGAGATTTCCTCATTGGTTATATTCTCTGTTTTTAAAATGCAAGCATGCATTCAGGGTACACATCATGACATTGATTCTGCCATGTGAGCAGATAGCGGGTGTTGGTTTTACTCGCCTCTCCTATTCCATACTCCTCTTCCTGAACAGCTTTCTCTCTTCCTCCCCCTCCCATTCCCTCCCTTTTCCATCCTCATACCCCTCCCCTCCCCTCCCCTCTCCCTCCCTCCCTTCCTCTCTTCTCTTTTTCCAATTTCCCATGACTTATTATTCAAACAGAACAAGTGGGAAGTGGTTTTTACACCGAGTTCTCCTTCACCCTCCAGGCCTTTAAGGTTCCGTGCACATCCGGTTTCCTGTCTGACACTTTCTATCACTCTTCCCTGGAATCTGTCAAGGGTTATTTCAATTATCTTGATGATGACGGAGACAGATGAACTGGTGTTTTTAACTGCCTGTACCCAATATGAAAGCAGAAGCTATGTATTGTATCTTCCTGACATTCTATCTCTGACTTTGTATCTGGGTTTGGGTTAGTTTACAAGTATCTTATGGAATCCCTTGTTAATGCTGTAGATAAGAATGATGATGGCTATAGAGGAGGAGGAGGAAGAGGAGAGGAAGAACAGAGGGGACGGAGAAAAGAAGGAGGTGGACAGGGAGGGGGAAACCTCACAGAGGAAGGCCAGAAAGAGAAAAGGAGCAAACAGAGAAATTTAGAAGGCAAACTGGGAACGTGGAAATAGAAATTCTCTTAAGATTGTTTAAATTTATTTTTTTATGCACGTGTTTATATTTTGATCCTTCTTTGTTATTTACCTCTTTCCTATCTATTTCATTTGTTGGGAAGAATATCCCTGACTTCTTAAAAATGCATGGCTGCAGGGTATTTTTTCCTTGAAAGGCTCTTGCTAATATCTTGTTGGTGAGATTCGTTTTTTTCAGAGAAAGATGCCCTTGGGAAGGGGAGTCAGGAAGGAAGAGGGAAAGGCATGTAGCAACACTAAGTGAGTGGGCCAGGACAGCTTCTGCAAATGCTGGGTTGGATGCTCATGTTGCTGGCCTGGGGCTCCCTTCAAAGGTGGATGGGAAATACTGGACGCACAAAGTTCGCCAAGAACCTGAGAGTTATTTCTCTTCATTTAGTGGGACAATGGACTCTAACCAGAGTAGACAAATAGTATATCTATATAAGGATGATTCCTTCTGTGGATGAATACAGTATTAATGAAGACATTCATTTTCTATTAAATTAGTGATGCAGAAAGAAACTGTAATGAACTCAGTTTCTGTCCAAACAAATTATCAGCATTTTTCAGTACTAGACTCCAACCTTGTACCAGTTGCCTGATACTAAAGATCAGCATGGCTTCTGTTCACACAAAGATGGGACTTCTCAGAGAGGTCACAAAAACAAAAATTAAACATCCCAGGCTATTCGCTTAGCAGCAGCATATAATATCTATCTATTGATGTGTAATATTCAAATCTACAAACATAAAAACTACAGTGGTCATAGCTCAATATTTAGATTTATCAATAAATAGTTTTTTAAAACGGTTGAATCCTTAACAATAAATACTAAGTCTTGATTCAGCCACTGTTAGTTTTTAAATTTTATTTTTGAATTTCAGTATTACATTCAGTACAACAAAATCCAGTTTTTTTTTTTTTCATGTTTTCCCAAATTTGTCAGGGCCAGTGTGAGCATTCTGAAGCATCTGCTGTG